AATTCTTTAACAAACAAATTTTTCATTGGCCTTTTTTATTGTAATTCTATCAGCGCTAATGACTGTTTTTAAATGTATTATCATATAAATAAAATGTGTGCTTCAAATTCAAAATTCTTTATATTTATCACGTTAAACCGTTCGGTTTCAGAGATTTGCCCTTATCTGTGAGTATATTCTTGATTAAATTTTAAACACTTTGATTCAAAGTTAGAAGGGTCAAAAACCTAATTTAGAGAAAAACTAGTTTAAAGTTCAAATCTACCATTACTTCCCATTTTAATTAAAAATATTAAAATAATAAAAGAAAAATAAAAAATCTGATATTTTATAATTTGGGGGAAAAGTGCAACGAACCGAAATTTTGACATAGAAAATACTAAACAGTGAAAATAATAATATGTTTAGTAAAGTTATATTAAAATTTAACTAAAATTCTTATATTTAATATAATTTTACTACACATAAGCTTTTTTAAAGTTTAGTATTTTTTATATCAAAATTTTTCTTTGTCGCAGTTTTTCCCCAAATTGTGAAATACTTTTACAAAATTTAATATTAGGGTGTCTACTATTTTTGTTCAACAAAATTCCCTGTTTTCCCCGACTTTGTCCTAATTTTTCCCGGTTTTTTCTCTCATCAAATTTAAATTTATTTGATTTCAAACATAAATAAATCTACAAATGGCTTCAAAAATTTTTATTAGAGTTTTTATGAATAATTAAATTCTTTTGACGAGTTTCTTTTAATTTTTTGAAAATAATTTTTTTTTATTAACTTTAATTAAAAATTTGGAAAATAATTGAATTAAATAAAGAATTTTTTCAGTTTTTTAAAATAATCTTGTCTGTTCCGAATTATGATTAAAAATTTGATTAATTCAATTTTATTAAAATATATTGATACTAAAGTTCTGAAAAAATTTTACTATTTATAAAAGTAATTGAATGCTTCCAAAGAATGTTATTATTTATGGAAATAATAAAATATTTGCCAAGAATTTTATTACTTTTGAAAATAATTGAATTGCTTTTCAGAATTTTATACAAATTTATGAAAATAATTGAATTGTGGAAAACAATTTAATTATTTATAAAGATAATTAAAATTTTGAGGAGAATTTAAAAAATGTTTTAAACATAATTGAATCTTTGCCAAGAATTTTATTATTTTTAAAAATAATTGAATTGTTATTCAGAATTTTATAGAAATTTATAAAATTAATTGAATTCTTGTGAAGAATTTTTTTTTTTAAATAATATTGAAAAGAATTTAGTAAATCTAAAGAATTTTGTTATTCATGGAAATAATTACATTTTTCGAGAAACTCGATTAAAATTGTATTAAAAATAATTGAAATTCTGCTATGAGTTTTACAATTTATGAAAATTATTAAATATATTGCGAAAAAAAATTTATAAATAATATAATTTTAATTCCCGTCACTAACATCCTTTGATTATTCTCGAAAAATTTAAATAAAATTCTTTAAAAGAATTTAATTATTTTTAATAGAATGTAAAGATATTTCAATTATTTCAAGAATTTTCAATTATTTGTTTATAAAAATTCAATTATCTTGAATCAATAGAATTGATAAATTTAAAAAACTTCATTTTTCAGAATTTTCAAAAAAACTTTGCGAAAATTCAATATTAATGAAAAAATTTAAGTGCGTGTATCTTTTTTTAAATTAAATAATACAAATTTTAATTATTAATCTTTGCGCTAAGAAACATGAATGTGACTTTATAAAATTCAATTATTTATCAATTATTAAATTAAAATACTTTGAAAATTCAATTTGTTAAAAAGTTTTTAATGAATTTCTTTAACAAATTTAATTATATTCTCTTGAATTTCATAAAATTTCTATTAATTCGATAATTTTTTAAAAATTTATTTACATACTATATTTGAATCAGTGACTCATTTTTTACTATCAAATTAATTATTTTTAACTAATTCAAATTTAGAGAACAGTATAAATATCTATAAAAGTCTATTGATTTCTTTGAAGCTTCGAGCACAAAATTTATTACGAAATTACGAGCACTAATATTACAAAACTAGTGTCTACGAACATATTTCTTTATTCATTGTATTCATTTGTATTTAAAGGCTTTTTTTCGGCCTGTTAATTTCTAAATAAAAATAAAATAAAAAGTTGAAATAAAAAGCGATTTTTTAAAAACAAATTAAAATAATAACCGAGTGATAGCATCATTACCTACTATATATAAAATAATAAAACTTATTTAATTTGGTGAAAAAATTCCCGGTTTGGCATAAAATTCCTGGCTTATTCCCGGTTAGTAAACTACTATTATAATTTTCTCTCCGTTTAGGATATTCCAAAGATATCCCAGGGGGTATCCACTGTCATTCCTGGGACATCCTAGGAATATTCTAATTTCTCTGGATCAATGGTTATCCTTAGAAGATTTATAGGATATCCGGATGCTATTATAGGGCAGAATTAAAACTAATAAGAATTTATTTGAGGCAAAATAAGTAGAAACAGAAAATTTATTCAAATTTTTCTTTACCATTTGCCAAATACAGAGTTGCCACAGGTCAGGGAAATCAGGAAATGTAGGAAAAAGTCAGGGAAAGTAAAATTGGTCAGGGAAATCAGGGAAAAGTCAGGGATTTTTATTAAAGTAACTGGAAAAAATTGAATTTTGGAGAAGCTAAAATAATTGCAGACATTCAATTATTTTCAAAAATAATAAAATTCTTTGCAAAATTTCAATTATTTTTAAAAATTTTAATAAAATTCTTTGCAAAATTTCAATTGTTTTCAAAAATTTTAATAAAATTCTTTGCAAAATTTTAATTATTTTCAAAAATTTTTCACCAATGCAATGATTTCCAATATCTACTATTTTAATACAATTTTTTAAAAGAATTCAATTATTTAAAAAGAAATATTGATAAAATTCTAAGCAAACATTAAATTCTTTTCATAAATAATAAAAATTTCACAGGAATTCAACTATTTACAAATTTTTTATAAATTTCTTTGCAATAATTCAATTATTTTCATTAAATAATAAAACTCATCATATAATTTCAATTATTTTTAAATTAATACATTTTTAATTGAATTCCTCGAAAAATGTAATTATTCTTGAAAATTTTATAAAAATTTCTCGAAAAAACTCAATTTTGTTGATAAAATTCTTTAATGATAATTTAATTTCGAGAAATATTCATTTATTCAAAAAATTATTTAGTATTGTATTGTAAATAATTGAATTCTCGTAGAATTTTCCAATAAAAATTGATTTAAAAATGAATTTTAAATAAAATTTTAAATAATAATTAAAAATTAAAAACATTATAGCATGAATTTTTTAATATAATTGATAATTGAATTCTTTCAAAGCATTTTAATAAAATTTTTGAAAATAATTACATTTTTTGAAGAATGTACTTAAAATTATATTAAAAATAATTAAAATTCTGTGAAAAATTTTATTTATTTATAAAAGTAATTCAATTCTTTCAATCAATGTTTTCAAAATTTTTTTTAAATAATTGAATTTATGTGAAAAATGTTATTATTTGTAAAAATATATGCATTCCTGTAATAAATTTTATTACATTTTAGTTAAATAATTAAATTCTTTTGAGAACTTTTATTAAAATAGTAAATTTTGAAAATTTTTGAATTTCAACGAAGAATTTCATTATTTGTGAAATGTAATTTAATTCTTGCAAAAAATTTTTAAAGATAATTTTATTTTTCGAGAATTTTACTTAAAATTGTATTAAAAATAATTGAAATCCTGTAAAGAATTTTATTAATTTATAAAAATAATTGAATTCTTGCAATCAATTAAAAATATTTTTTTTAATAATTGAAATAATGTAAAGAATCTTATTATTTATGAAAATAATTGAATTCCTGGAACGAATTTTATTACATTTCTTTTAAATAATTGAATTCTTTTGAGAACTTTCATTTAAATAGTAAATTTTGAAAATTTTTAAATTTCAGCGAAGAATTTTATTATTTGTGAAATGTATTTGAATTATTGCAAGAAATTTTTGAAGATAATTTCATTTTTCAAGAAATTTACTTAAAATTGTATTGAAAATAAAATAATTGAAACCCTGTGAAGAATTTTATTATTTATGAAAATAATTGAATTCTTGCAACGAATTGTATTATAATTTAATTTTTTTTGAAAAATTTTATGGAAATTAAAATTTTTATAAAACATGAAGATATCAATTGAGGCCTTGGATCCAATAACTCGCCCGACGCTCGGAGGAACGCGCAACTGCCAGTCAGTGAGCAGTGAGCGCCTCTGGGCCACTCACTGCTACCCGACTGGTATTAGCGCGTGCCTTCGAGCGTCGGGCGAGTTATTGGATCCAAGGCCTCAATTGCTCCGAGTCGAAGACTCGGAGTGATTGATATCTTTATGTTTTATAATAATATTCTTATAAGTTGTTGAATTTTAAAAATATTTTAGCGTCAGGGTAAAAGTCAAAATTTTGTCTGGAAATCAGGGAAATGTCAGGGAAAAAGAAAATTAATTTTTTGTGGCAACCCTGAAATAGCAAATAAGATGTAAATACCTAAAATAATTTCTACAAAATTCCAATTAATTTATTTACGATATTTTTCAAGAAATATGAATCAAAATTTTTTCTTGAGTTATAAGCTGAGATGCAGGCAGATATTGCTTTTAATAGCATGTAATATATGTTGAAGAATTAAAATAGGAATTTGACTGAAAATAGAATTCGTAAAATGTAAAACAGTTCAGCAGGAAAGTGTTATCAGTGGAAAAGGGTTGAGGGGGGAATGTCGACGATTGCGAGGGCGTTGAGAACCATGAATGAGTGAGATGTCCCCACCAGATTTTGCTCCTCTCTTCATCACTCCTTCGTTGATTGTCGGTCTTCTCGTTTCCTCGTGGAGCATCGGTATCCTTCGGGGTTCGCTTTTCTCTTGGTGCTCCATGCATCTTTCGGTCAGTTTCTCGTGGGTTGCCGCGCGCGCATTTTCGAACATAAACGTGAAGGCTTCGTGCATAGGTTTTATTCGCTCGTGAATATTCGAAAGAAGAGACATCACATAAAGGACCTTGAAATCCCGATCCGCCTGTCCCATTGGATATACCGAAAATTTGCAAAGGGATTTTTGATCTCATCATGCGCCGGCGATCTATTCGGTCAGTGTTGATAATTTATTTCTTTATAAAAATTCCTATATCAACCCCTTTATTAAAAATTCATTTTTTACTACTATGAAAAAATTAAGTGACAAATTACATTATATTATTTGTTTTCAAAATTGTTTAAAAGTGAATAAGCAAAAAGAATTTTTAAAAAATTTACATTTATAAAAATTTGAAAAAAAATTAAAAACTTTTTTTTTAATTTAATTATTCAAGTATTAAATAAATAAATTAAATTCATTAATGAAATTTAAATTTCATATGCAAAAACACACACTTTTCAATTCTTATTATAAATTTTTTTTCTCAAAAGTGATTTACCACAGATGAAAGAGAACATTTATTGAGAAAATGTCCAGTTGAAATTATGTTTTTGAAGTGGAAAAACGTGCGAAACGTTATTCGCTTCACCTTTCATTCACTCATTTTTCATTACGCACCGTCGCATACGAATGAATGAACTAAGTCCTTACATATTAATGAGTTGCAAGTTCATTCCTTCCTTATAAAGATTCTGGTTATTTATTTTTGTTTTCAAATCATACAGGCATATATATTTCGCTTAATGATTATAAACTAAAATTCATTAATTTTAGGCATTTTTTCTCTTTTTACATTCATTTTAATATGAAATATTACTTAAACGTGCTTATGCATAAAAAAGAAATAACTATTTTAAAAAAAACAATTCTCTTCAAAATATTTATTTTAAATTAAAAATTTTTTTTTTTAATTTCTGAGTAACTCCCAGAAAAAGTGACTTTTTTCATGATTTATTTTCGGAAAATGAAAAAAGGAATAGGATTTCTTTGTGGAGGGTTTGTTAAATACATATTGAAGTGTTAAAAAAATTTTTTATTTAATATTTTATGAAAAACGGCGGCGATGAATTTCATAGTCAAAATCGACTATTTTTTATGACTAAAAGGGCAGAACAAGTTTTTTCAAAAGTTGAAGTCCTGAAACAAAAAACAAAAAAATTTCATGATCTATAATATAAACATTGGAAGTACATATCATATGGGATTTTTATATCAATTTTTGCAATAATGGCGCACTTTTTGAGTAAATTAATCGATTTTTTGCCTAAAGAAAACAGTAAATTGTTTATAAAAAATTAAGTTTACATCTAATTTTATTAAAAAATCCATATGTAGTACTTCCAAAGTTTATAGTATATATTTTATAAAATTTCTTTGTTTTTTGTTCGAGGACTTAAACTTTTCAAAAAAGCTTTCCCTGTCATTAAAAAACAGTCGGTTTTGAATATGAAATTTACCGCCGCCATTTTGTTACATAATTTAAAAAAAAATAATTTTCACATTTCAATTTGACTATTTTATAAATCCTCCAAAAAAAAATTTCAGTTTTGATTTTTTTAAAACAAATCTTAAAAAATAGGTCCCTCTAGAGTAGTGTTACCCCTCAATATAATTTTCAACCTTAATCTCTAATGTCGATACATTTTAAGTAGAATAAAAATTTTCTTCACAATTTGGAATTTGTTATTCGTTAAAAACAATAAATAATTTTTCTTATAAGAATACAAGTAAGTTCTCAGTTGCAGATACAATGCCATTTGATACATGAAATTATATCCATATCAATTTAAATTCTAAAGTTTCTTTAAAAACTGCAAAGAACTATAGAAAAAGTTTTATTTACTTGATAATTTATAATAAAAATTCTGATATAAGGAGATTATATAAGACATAATAAATTTATAATCAATAGTAAAAAATAAAGGAACAGTGAAAAAATTTAATTATACAGAATGTTATTTTTGATTTTCGCAACTGTTTTGCATACTTACATTTTAATGGCATTCCGCGCTATCAAATTCCAGGTTTTTCTATAAATTCCTCTAGTTAATTTTACTGAAAAGTGTTTTTTTGTTAACTGAAATCAATTCATTGTTAAAAATATTTTGAACTGTTTTTTAATATTCTCTTTTAAAAGACTTTTAAAAATAATTAAAAAATTTTTTTTATGCAATAAAATTATTTTTGCACAAACAAATATGAATACAAATATATCACGTAATATTACGAATATCCAATGTAATATTACAATAATATCAATGCAATGTTATTGGTTTCGAAGTGAATTAATATATCTTCTAACTGAAAAAAATTTAGTCGAAAATTTCAAAAATTTTCCTCAATTAAATGATTTTCATTATCTATTTTAATACAATTATTTTTAAAAAATGTTGATAAAATTCTAAACAAACATTAATTTTCATAAATAATAAGTTTATAGTGGATAATAAGTAATAAGCAGTTGAGTGGAAAGTAGTAAAATTAATTACTTTTTCACTTATAACAATGCTTGTGTATAATTTAATTATTTTTTATACAACTTTTTAAATTCAGTTGAGGACTTTTTGAATTAATTTCATGCCATCAGTCATAAAGTTTCTTTAATATTATATTCAAAAATAAATAAGACTAAACTTTTCTTTATCTTTAAAAAAAATATCATATTTTAAAATATTTCTAAATTTGATATTTTCTAAAATTTTGAATTAATTTTATTATAATCTTATTATCGAAATAAAAAAACTGTGGTAAAGGTGTGAATGTCCATGAATATTATATGTTAATTTTCCATATACCCTAGAATAAAGAATTAATGAGATAAAAATAATAATTTACAGTAAATGTGTGAGAGGAGTTTGAAAAATGATCGTTCACGCGTTTCGATCGGTAATCGGAAATTCCGGCATCCTAAGGATCTTCTCACGATGATCGTTTTCAGGCGAGAAACTTTAACGCTCGAACTTCCTTCTCTCACTTTTGTGTTGGAAGAGAGAACGAAAGAAACACGTGTGGTATCCTGGGTAGGAACTTTACCCGCTCTAGAGTCCCATCGGGATCCTCGTTAGCCCGTCATTTTCCATTCGCGATTCCTTAGCGAAAATTCATTTAACGTCAAGCTGGATATTGCAGTCGTAAACCTTCAGAATACCCAAGAGAATATCCTTGAAACATCCGGAATATGACATAAAAAATTAATATACCCTAATGACTTCCTATGATAAACTGATTGCTTTTCTTACTGTGTGTAATTAAATTAAATTTACATTTTTTCATAAATATTGAAATTATTATAAAATCTTCTAATTTTTCATGTCTTTTTCATAAAAATTTGTAAATTCTCTTTATTACTTTAATTTATTAATGTTTATACATTCAAATTTTATCAAGAATATAGTATCAGGAACTATATTTTTCAATCAGTGTTACTAATATTTAATAATTAAGTAATTAATTATTAACTATTTTAATCTTCGTATTCTTTCATTCATTCTGTCCACAGTTTGAAGTTAGTTAACTGTTTAAATTTTTAGAAAATAAAGAAAAAAATTTTACTCAAAAAAAATGTTTAGTTCAAATTCAGATCTTTTTGAAATTAAACAACTTTAAAAATATTGTTATAAAGCATGAAAAAAAAATTGTATTAAAGATAATTAAAATTCTGTGATGAGTTTTATTTTTATGAGAACAATTAAATTATCGAGAAGATATTTATAAAAAATTTATAAATAATTGAATTCCTGTGAAATTTTTATTATTTTATGAAAATAATTAAAGGTATGGGTAGAATTTTATTAATATTTTTTTAAATAATTAAATTCTATTGGAAAATGTTATTAAAATACTAGATATTAAAAATCATTCAAAGGAAATTGTTTGAAAATAATAAAAATTATGCCCAGAATTTTATAAAAAAAATTTTTAATTATTGAATGGATACGAGAAATTATATTACAAATTTTTAAAATAATTGAATTCTTGCAATGAATTTTATTAAAATTTTCAAAAACAATTGAATTCTTACGAAGAACTTAATTAATTTTTTTAAATAATTATTAAATTCTAGCGAAGAATTTTATAAAAACCATTCTACATAATTGATTTTTTCGAAAAATTTTATGAAAATTGTGTTTGAAAATTATTCTATACCTCTGAAATTTTTTATTATTTATAAAAATAATTAAATGTTTGCGTACAATTTTATTAACATTTTTTTAAATAATTGAATTCTTTTGAGAAAACTTTCTATAAATCTATTATTTTTAATAATTAATTAAATATATATTAACAAATTTAACTAATTTTAGAAGATTTTGAATTATTAAAATTTTTCAAAAAATTAAGTTCTTTAAAATTTCTAATCAAATTCATTCAAAATTGAAATTTTATAAAATTTCAAATTAAAATTTTTTGAAGTTCATTTATTTATGAAAATAAATTGTAAACGCAACTCTTTTAAAATTGAATTAACTTTGAAATATTTAAGTAAAATTATTAATTTAATAATTTATAAGTCATTATTTTATGATAGTTGTTCAAGATTTAAGTTATTTAAAAAGAAGTTATTGTCAGAAATAGAAAAAATTTAATGTTCTTTTTAGAATTTGTAGTAATTTCATAGTTTATTAGACAAACAAAGATTTTACTTTTATGAAAATAAATTTTAATAAAAAATTTTAAAGTTCGATTATTTTTAAAATTGCTAATTTTATTTTAAAAAGCGAGTAAAAAGTTAGCCGCGCGCGAATTGTTGCTACTTTATAAATTAGTTTATAAATTAAAAAAAAATTTCTTAAATGCTTTTAAAAAAACTTTCGTTTGTTTAAATCGTATGGAAAAAATTTGAATTTTTTGAGATAGATTTTTGTAAAATATGACTTGTAGATTATATTATATTTTCCAAGAAATTACGTCAGTAAGGAAAAAAGAAACATTAATTCGGAAGTGGAAAAAGAATCTTGTAAAATTTGGATAACATGTGCTCCCTTCTCAGTAACCTCATCTGTCAAAACAAACTCCTTTTGTAAGAATAAGGGCTTCGTTGCCTTTTAGTATCCAAAGTGAAATATTTTAATTCTTGACACATACTGAAATAGTTCGAAGAAGGTCATTAAGGTCCTCATAAAAAAAAACCTTTTGATTAGATTATAAAACCGTATAACCGGCTTATCTATT